TGTGTGTCTCTGTTCTGTGTGTCCCTGTTCTGTGTGTCCCTGTTCTGTGTGTCCCTGTTCTGTGTGTCCCTGTTCTGTGTCTCTGTTCTGTGTGTCCCTGTTCTGTGTCTCTGTTCTGTGTGTCTCTGTTCTGTGTGTCCCTGTTCTGTGTGTCCCTGTTCTGTGTCTCTGTGCTGTGTGTCTCTGTTCTGTGTGTCCCTGTTCTGTGTGTCCCTGTTCTGTGTGTCCCTGTTCTGTGTGTCCCTGGTCTGTGTCTCTCTTCTGTGTCTCTGTTCTGTGTGTCCCTGTTCTGTGTGTCCCTGTTCTGTGTGTCCCTGTTCTGTGTCCCTGTTCTGTGTGTCTCTGTTCTGTGTGTCTCTGTTCTGTGTGTCTCTGTTCTGTGTGTCCCTGTTCTATGTGTCCCTGTTCTGTGTGTCTCTGTTCTGTGTCCCTGTTCTGTGTGTCCCTGTTCTGTGTGTCCCTGTTCTGTGTCTCTCTTCTGTGTCTCTGTTCTGTGTGTCCCTGTTCTGTGTGTCCCTGTTCTGTGTGTCCCTGTTTTGTGTGTCCCTGTTCTGTGTGTCTCTGTTCTGTGTCTTCCATACACCTTCTTTTTACACCTTTATTTCTCCTTTCTGACACTTGGTTCTAGGATTTGACCTCTAGTCAGGTCTGGTTTCTGGTGACCCATCATTTTTTGATGTCACCTCAGTCTGTTCACTCCGAGCAACAGGAGGGGATGGTCATACGCTATTTTTCCATGCTTCATGGACCTAGTCAAGTAAAGGGCCAGTGTGACGCTCTGACTGAGTCTTCAGGTGATCTTGGAAGGAAGTCGTGGGCAGGAAGGAGTTAACATTTACTGGATAATCTAATGATCTTCCAGGTAGAGCAGAGGAGGGGATTTAAGTATGTTTCTTATTTATGTGGCTGACGGTAGCCATGCACTTTGTTCTGATCCTGGGATCCAGTCTCCTGGACTCTCAGTGACATTTACATGGAATAGAAACAGAGGCGTGGGCACAGTATGAGGGGACATCCTGAGGATGACACCGTACCCTTTGTCCCATGGACTTCTCTGCTCTGTTTACACTGTCCCTGTCCTCTTTCTAGGTGTCTTAGTTAGGGTTTTATTGCTGTGAACAGACATCATGACCAAGGCAACTCTTATAAGGACAACATTTAATTGGAGCTGACTTACAGGTTCAGAGGTTCAGTCCATTATCATCAAGGCAGGAAGCATGGCAACATCCAGGCAGGCATGATGCAGGAGGAGCTGAGAGTTCTACATCTTCATCTGAAGGCTGTTAGCAGAATACTGACTTCCAGGCAGTTAGGATGAGGGTCTTAAAGCCCATGGCCACAGTGACACGCATCCTCTAACAGGGCCACACCTCCTAATAGTGCCACTCCCTGGGGTGAGCATATACAAACCAGCACACTAGGACACTCACATACAACACAAGATTTCCCCTTTTTTGAGATAGGGTCTCACTATGTAGCAAGGTATCCTGGAATTGATTATGTAGACCAGGCTGGCCTAGCTCTCACAGAGATCAGCCTATCTCTGGCTGCTGAGTGATTGGATTAGAGTAGAGGTATGGACTACCACTACCCAACTGGATTTTCCCTTTGACCTTAATGCAAAGAATAAATACCAGAGTTTTTTTTTCATACACTAAGCAACTGCTCTACCACTGAATGACATTTTCAGTCTAAACAGAGATATTTTGGGTATTTCCAAATACTTTTATTCAGCTAAGGTCTGACCCACTTCCCAAGCAATCTTCTGGATGGAAGAATTTCCATTATTTTCCTCTGTTCTACCCTGGCAGGGAGGTTGTCTGTCCTAGATTCTCTATGCACTCAGACACCCTCAGACGCCCCCAATGCCCTCAGAAGCCCTCAGACGCCCTCAGACGCCCTCAGATGCCCTCATTTGCCCTTTCTCATACATTTCTTTCTCTTCCTCCTTCCGTTCTATGTGTCCACATCTGGGAACATCTGTGTTCCTCACTTTACCTGCTTGCTTTTGCTACTAAAACCCCCTCGACCACTGGGCACAGTGCTCTTTTCCTACAGAGAGAATCAGTCCTGATGTTTATTAAGAACAGTCTTTTGGGCGGGACCCCCTTTCTAGACAGCCAGATTCTGTAGGTCTGACTTCTCAGAGACTTTGTAGTTAATGACCCTTTTAGTACTGGGGCTTGAAGCTAGGGCCTCCGTGTGATTGGCAAGCACAGCCATCCAGCTATACCCCAGCTCCTTGGAGAGAACAGTTATGTCAGGTCATTCCAACACTGGTGGATCGTGTATCATACGAAATGTTTCCGTGTTGGGGTTTAACTGAGGTGTTCATACATGCTCAGTACCTGCTCGATCATTCAGCCACACCCCAGACTGTTTTTGTCTGATTTTCCTTTACGAGACAGGCTTTCTTTGTGTAGCCCTGGCTGGCCTGGAACTCACTGTGTACACCAGGCTGGCCTCGAACTCAGAGATCCACCTGCCTCCCGAGTACTGGGATTAAAGGTGTGCACGACCACTACCTGGGAGACTGTTTTGGTTTTTTTGTTTTTAAAGAGATGCAGTTTTACTATGTTGTCCAGTCTGCCCAAACCTCTGGGGCAAAGGGCACATGCTACCTCCCTTAGCTTTTGCCATTCTTGAAGCCTTCAAAGAATCTCTGGTAGAGGCAGAGCTACTTCTGAGAGTCAGAGTTATCTTACTTCTCTTCTCATTTAATTACCTCCTTCCTTCCTTTACTATTTATTGGTCCAACACCAATTACAAGGACTAACTGGGGTTCACCGAGCAGAGGCCTAATTGGTCTCCTGGGCTCTAGGCTTGAGCCGTTTGAGCTCTTGACTCTCCTAACTGACCTTTGTTTTCCAAGGCAAACCTCTGTATGCGGCCACTCTGGCTAGCACCACCAGGGACTTAGAGAGCTCAGTGTTTTAGTCCTTCATTTCTGAGACAGCGCTCAAAGCCTGGCAGGAAGCATTATCTTAATTCTGGTTCACAATATTAACCCCTACTTTTCTTTGCTTCCAACCTGAGACCTGGCAGCCTTGGATTAAGAACCTGTAAGTAGAGGCTGGAGAGATGGCTCACTGGTTAAGACTCCTGCCTGCTCTCCCAGAGGACCTGAGTCGAGTACTCAGAACCTACATGGCATTAAACCTGAGAATCATCAAAGACCAATTCCACAATTTTTGAACCAAAATTGAAGCAAGCTTTACTTAAACACTGGCCAGGTGGATGAGCTCTGGCCAGGACCGTTCCAGGGTTTGCAGGAGATGGCAATGAGTCACAGCTTGTTGAGGCTTATAAAGGATGAGCTGTAAGGCCTTTCCCATCAGGTCCAATCAGGGGCACGCATATATACTTTTATGTAGTTCCTGCCCATGTGCTTCTACCCACATGTGATCAAGCACATCTGGTTTAGATGGGTCAAATAAACACAGGACAAATAGAAACTTATTCCTCTGGTTTTTTTTTTTGTTTATTTGTTTTGTTTTGTTTTTATTGTTTGGTTTTTTTTTCAAGACAGGGCTTCTCTGTGTAGCCTTGGCTGTCCTGGAACTAGCTCTGTAGACCAGGTTGACCTTGAACTCACAGAGATCCACCTGCTTCTACCTGCTGAGTTCTGGGATTAAAGGTGTGCACCACCACCATCTGGTTAGGATTTATTCTTAACTGTCTTAACTGCAAACAGAACCTTTAAGGTGCAATGTCTGTTTTTCCTGGTTTGATCTCACAGTGACAGCTCACAGCTCTCTACAGATTTACTTGCAAGGAATCCAACACCCTCTTCTGGTCTCCATGGTGCCAGGCAACTGGCATGCACACGTGGTGCACAGACACACATGCAGTTAAGACACCCATACATAAACGAAATAAAATAATAAAGAAGCTGTAACTATTCCCCATGGGGTTGCCACTCAGGTCCCTTTTGCATTTATTTTAGTATTAATTCATTCAACATGAATGTTTATGAAATGTCCATGGGGCTGGAGAGATGGTTCAGCAGTTAAGAGCACTGACTGCTCTTCCAGAGGTCCTGAGTTCAATTCCCAGCAACCACATGGTGGCTCACAACCATCTGTCATGGGATCTGGCGCCCTCTTCTGGTGTGTCTGAAGACAGCTGCAGTGTACTCATGCATTAAAAAGAAAAAAAATAAATCTTAAAAAAAGAGTAAATATTTATTTAAAAAAAGAAAGGAAGAAAAAAGAAAGAGAGAGAAAGAGAGAGAAATGTCCATACTGCTTAGGCTCCGTTCATAGCTGTCCTGTACACCTCAGCGGGGGCACGTCTTCCGGAGCCTATGCAGAGCCCATTTTACCTCTTGATTCTTGAGACTGTAAATGATGGGGTTGAGCATGGGGGTGAGCACTGTGTAGAGGACCGAGAAGGCCTTCCTGAGTAAGGAGGGCATGTGATCTGTCGGGGCCACGTAGACCACAATGAGAGTGCCGTAAAACACAGCAACCACACTGAGGTGGGAGGAGCAGGTGGAGAAGGCTTTCTGCCTCCCGTGGCCCGAGGGTATTCTCAGCACAGTCCGCAGGATGAAGACGTAGGAAGCGACGATCAACAGGAAGGGGGCGAGCGTGAGGCAGCCCGAGATACTCACGCCAGCCCCCCACATGATCCACACCTCTCCACAGAACAGCCCTACAACCGGGGCAAAGTCACAGAAGTAGTGATCAATCACCCGGCGGCCGGGACAGAGGGATAGAGGGGCTGCTAAGGCCAGAGTGAAGGCAGAGAAGAAGAAGCCACTGAACCAAGCACCCGTGGCTAGGCAACCACAGCACCAGGTGCTCATGAGAACCGGGTAATGAAGGGGATGGCAGATGGCCAAGTAACGATCATAGGACATGGCCGAGAGCATGAGACACTCTGCTGCGGCCAGAGAGGCAAACACATAGAACTGGGCGAGGCAGCTGACCAATGAGATGACGTCCCCACCTTCCAGGAAGCTCTGTAAAAGCCGAGGCACGATGTTGGATGTATAGCCAATCTCCAGCAGGGAGAAATGGCAGAGGAAGAAGTACATGGGTGTGTGGAGGGTCCGACTGGAGGCCACAGCAAGCACAATGAGGATATTGCCACCAACCGTTGTCACATAGATGGCTAGAAAGAAGGCAAAGGGGAGGAAGCCCAGGTGTTTCAGCTTCCCGAAGCCCACTAGGGTCAGCCAGGTGGTCTGGTTCTCATTCACACCGCTCATGGAGATCTGAGCCCAGAAGAGAGGGAGGCAGCCATTAGTGAGCACTAGTCTAGTAGGGCCACACTCGATACTTGGCTTACTGTTTACATATCTTAGCAAGTATTGGAGACAGGCTTTAGTGCCTCCTGTTAGTTTAAAAGGGACAGTTTACATGAGTTATTCAAGATCTCTCTGATGGAATTATGGTTTGAGTCCATTTGCTTGAGTCTAGATCTCCTGCATAATGGGGGATGGAAACACACACACACACACACACACACACACACACGAACACACGAGAGAGAGAGAGAGAGAGAGAGAGAGAGAGAGAGAGAGAGAGAGAG